TTTTATTTGATTTACCAATGCGAACTACAATAACAGCTCGAGTGATTAAAACAAATTCCTATCTTTATCCCACTCTCTGGGGCTATAACCTGGCATATGTTTTGTCTTAACCAAGTTGAACTTTGTGCACCAATTCTGTGTCAGATATGATTTATGTTAGGCAGTGGTCACCAGGAATTTTCTAATTGATCTTAGAGCCTTTTCTTGGAAAACTTGAAAAAAGCTCCATGACTTTTATTCAATGTTTGGTTTTAGACAAGAAACTCATGTACTCCCTTTTCTTTTTCTTATCAAGTGCGTCTTAAAATATGGTCTAAGGACCATATGTGTGGACCTGTTTCTAAACCTGGAGACTCTCAAGGCCCTAGACACTCCTTCCTTCAAAGCTGTGTTAATTTGTTTGGTACATGCTGAGGTGCTCGTATGCTCTTTATAGAGTCTACTCCACTTTCTCCCTCTCCCTCTCTCTTTCTTTCTTTCTATGTGGTACCGCAGATTGAACTCAGGACCTTGTGCTTGAGCTATCTCCCTGGCCCTCTGCTTCCTATTTTTGATCATGTTACCCCCTACAGCCCAGCTGACTGGCCTCAGGCTTCCTTCTAAGCCTTTGTAAAATCATTAGCTACAGGAGAAGAAATGCATCTTGGATTATTCATAATTCAATGTTCTTGGTGTAAAGAGAAGCAGATTGCAGATATGTTTAAATGCCTGCCCTCTGATATTTTCTCTTTTCCACAAGGGAATCTTAGGCCAGAAATGTAGCTCAGCAGCACAAGCACCTTCCCAGAAAGTGCAAGATCCTGAGTTTGATTCCTGATACAAAAATAAAAAAAAGGCCAAATCCAAAAGGGCAAAAGGGGATCTTGTTCATTCCTAAGGGCATAAGAAGTCTACTCCCTCCGGATGCTCTAGGACTAAGACTCATGAGTCTGATTCAAATGTCCTTTGCACCTGTCTTTGAGATCAATGACATTATCTCCTCTTATAAGAGCTATTCAGAGAGGCTGAGTTTCCAAAAGAAGTGGGATATACATCACTTTGGATTTGAAATCTGAACTTTGATGAATGGCCCCTGCTTTATATTGATATACAAGAGTCAAGTTATTTAAATGATTATCACATGCTTCCCTTTCTAAAATTTTTCTGTTCATACTGGTGTACCAACTTTCCTCTCAATCCTTATATCACTGGATGGATCTAGGACTCCCTGGGACACTGCAGGGTCAGGCCACCTGGGCTGAAGTGCTGGTTCTACTGCAGCCAATCTGTGTGATCATACTCAAGATACCTCATCACACCTCCCTGGGCTTCAGTTCCCTCTGTTGTGAAATGGGACTGATGAAAATAGTGTATCATTCTCTGAGTTACTTTATGGGTAAGTCAGATGGTGCCCTGAGTCAAATGGTACACAGAAATGCTTGAGAAATGGCCATTGGTACTGTGGTGTGTGGGAGTGAGGGAAGAAGGAGCTGGGAATTGGACCACAGAGGTGAAATCAACCTGTGTCGGTGGGCTGGGGAGGTCCCTAGTAATACAAGATCTTCACCAGGAATCAGCTGTATGGTTCCCCTGGCTATTTTTCACATCATGCAACTCTGATTACAATCTTTCACTTTAGTATTTTTTTCTGTGTAAAACAGAATATACTTCAATGTGAAGAATGCTGTGTGAAACTTTTTTTTTCTTAAGAAAATGAATAAGTAAATAGGTGTGAATCTGCCTGTGGTGTCACTGCTGGGAGTGCTGGACTGGTGAGGGTAGGTCTCAGGGATGGACAGAGGGAAACCCATCATTAGGTGGAGGTGACTGGGGCACATGACAGAGACAGGTGAAGACAGCCTTTCTGCCTCCCACCCTCACCTTTGCTGTGCTTTTTGCACTAAGTTATAAGTTAAACTCATATATGTAATTCCCTTATTTAATTTTCTTTCTTTCTTTCTTTCTTTCTTTCTTTCTTTCTTTCTTTCTTTCTTTCTTTCTTCTTTCTTTCTTTCTTTTTTCTTTCTCTTTCT